AACATCGACCAGACTACACAGCGCAACAACCCAGAAGACAGAAATCTTCATACTCATCGCCCTGATGACGGAGGCAGTATGACCTCTGAAACGTTGGTTAACATCGAGCACACTACACAGCGCAACAACCCAGAAGACAGAAATCTTTATACTCATCGCCCTGATGACGGAGGCAGTATGACCTCAGAAACGTTTGTAAACATCGACCAGACTACACAGCGCAACAACCCAGAAGACAGAAATCTTCATACTTATCGCCCTGATGATGGAGGCAATATGACCTCTGAAACGTTGGTAAACATCGACCAGTCTACACAGCGCAACAACCCAGAAGACAGAAATCTTCATTGCAATTGATAATTCCAGGGCGATTGTTACGCGGTTGTATTTCCTTTGCTAAGTTTTGTTTGTTCCAGCCTTTCTGTATACGGTAATGTATTCTTTCTTTGTTTCCTTCTTTCATTTTTTCTTAATTCATAAATTCGGTAGTAATATGCTAATTGGCCTTTGCAGTTTTATAACGAGGAACCGCTAATGGCGATATCATAATTGTAGCGCAGTGATGTCTGGTGCCAAATTGCATCACAAGTTACTTACCAATAGCAAGATCGGCCAACCGTCCTCGCTGCAGTATCGCCTGGTGGACTTAATGTAATATTTGCTGCTGTACATTTTGGGACAGTTTTCGAGCTCTTGGCGTATATGTTGGGCTTATTAGAGCGACGCACATAGCTTTTATTTTGTTCCTGCAAAGGCTTTTTAAATCTGATTTGTTGCACTTTTTCTTATAAAATAATTGTTAATGACCAATAAAAATAATACTGTGTTATCATGTAGCTACTTTTGGACATTCTCTATCATTGATGACCTCTTTGTTGCAATTACACATTTTTTATGCTTTTGATCTCGACGAGAACTGAACTGAATGTCACGTCCTAGTGATTAGAACTCCAATTTCGTATTCGAAGGGTCCTAGGTTTAAATCTTGGCACAGAGACCTGTTATTCTGACTGAGGTAGCTGTCATCAGTCCCTGCAGGCAAATGCTGGGTTAACACCTTAAATTAGGCCACGACCACTTTCTTACAAGTCCTTTCCGTTTTGTTATTAATTTATCATGGTATTATTGTACTATATATTTTGAGTTGTTGACAGTGTCTTAAAATGAACTGAGACAAATAAATAAAATGACGAGAATTGTTGTTTACAAATGCTCTGGGAACCGATTATAGCATCCGAGATCTTCTGCAGACAAACAAAATGAAGTTTTACAGACGAAGTAATATATGAACACGTCAGTTGCGCTAGTTCTCATATGTTCAGTATTATGTCAGAATGAAAACGTACAGGGACTTTTATCGATTAGATTTAAGGGTTTTAGTTTTTAGTGTGCGCATTGTCTTTGTTTGATTCCAGTCATGGCGGGGTGTGTCATGAGGGAAGATACGGTTTGGGGGGGGGGGGTGAAATCATGAGAGAGGGCAGATATGACCAGGAAGATATAGCAGGCTGCATGCACCAGTGTTGCCACGCACAGCTGCGTTCAAGTTGTAGTTCGTTCAGATTATATACATCAAGGCCTTCTGTACGCATTCTCACTACTTGTAAGGAAAGTTACGACACATGAACTAGGCGCAGTTGAGTAAAATATTTGGGTGAAAACCTCAAATACTACATTGGTGAAAGTATTTTCACGTGATATAATACAAGGCATTTCGTCTGAGGTGAGCTATCAGTGATGTCAGCTTGACAGATACTTGGTTGTATGAACACCCTGCGTCTTATTGGCACTGCGTGCTTTAAACACAAATGTGGGTGAACGGGGGTGGGGGTGACGTGAATTCGCATGGGGGATAGAAATGCGTGTATGAGTCAGCTGTTAGCCCCCTCCACATATTTTATTGGGAAAGCCTAGAGAGGGGGACATACAGATTCTATTGTGTGGATTGGATTGTGGGAGGGAGAACTAGAGTATTGTGACTATACTATTAGTTTTATAAATGTTAACCGTAGACTATAGTTCCGAATTATAAGACGTAAATCATTTAGCATAAATTTTATGTGACAAATTTTTCACAGACAAAGACAGAACTTTTTTGTGACAGTTTATTTCTGAATGATAATTTTAAGGAAATTTGTATATTTTTTCTTATTTTTACAATGACATATGCAACTACATTAATGGAGTAGAGTTTCTCTTCAGAATCAGTCACTCAGTTAACAGAAAATTTGGCGCATGACATAAGAAGACAGCAACAATATTATTACATATTATTAAAATGTATGTAGCCTACACAAATTAAGAAAACGATGTAGGATTTGAGGTTTTCACGGCGGTGAGTCTGAAGATTGCTGTCTTCTGGGTTGTTGGGCCTTGTAGTCTGGTAGAATGATGGAGGCAGCAAGGACCTCTGAAACGTCGGTAAACTTCTACCAGACTACGTGGTGCAAAAACCCAGAAGACAGCCATCTTAAGAAAACGATATCAGGTAAAAACATCGAGTACAGGCTTTAATACACGTGGCATACACTCTTATCATATTAATTGAGTAATTTCGGAATTCCATGAAGTCAAATTATCTGCTACCAGTGTTTATCATCCAGATTATCCTTCGTTTGTATGTTGAGGAAATTCCAATCCCTTATTCTGTGGTTTTGGGTGTAGCTTTACCACAGAGCTTTCTCTCCAGGTTGCAGATTTTATTTAATATTTTTATCAAAGATTTACTTTCCAAAATGTATCACTTTCTCCAACTTTCTTTTGTTCACTATTGATATGAAAATGTATTGTGTTTCAAAGTTTAGCTTTGTTCAGGAATGACTTTGTATTTATTATTCTTTATCCATTCCAATTTTGTTTAATTAATGTGCTCGGCAGGAACCAACTGTTTTGCAATAAGTATTAAAACAGAAATATATAAAATAATTTTGCATATGAATGTGCTAAATTGGCTAGTTATTTCCCTTGCAATGTGGCATTTTATATATCGACCTGATGATGGAGGTCTTCGAATCGTTGGTTGTATACTCAATACTGACACGGATTTTCTCCAGAGAACATTTTTATTAATATTTTTACCATGAAAGCTTAAGATTTTATATACTATGCACAAATTTGCCAGAATATAGAATCATGCATAGAAACAAACTGCTTACACTTGAAAGGACACTAATGTCAAACGCGTTTCAACCTAAAGAGGTCATCATCAGTAGCAAAACAAATTAATTCATATAATACAATTCAAAAGACTATAGTTTTCTACAAAGCAGCATTAATTAATTAATTATTATTATTATTCATAACTTCTTTTTTAATGTGAGAAACCCTGGAATTATCTTAAAATCTGATTTATTTCTTTAAAGGAATGCGTAGCTGTTTTTGCTGTTATGGTAAATAAGTTTTCTTTCGATTTATATCAAATTCGGCAAGTTAATGCCCAGTTACAATGCCGTGCTTGTCGGGTTAATGTTTTCAGGCTGAGTGATGCGTTCGGAGGCGCAAGTTGACTAAAGCAGACAGCATTAATTTAGGGAGAGAAGCTGATGACTGGACGGCGTGGTCTGTCGTGTGTACGTACGTGTGCCCTTATCCCCTCTACACAGTCCATTTTTTTTTCGTTCTTTAGGTTAGTGTTGTAAGTATAGAGTGATCGTGCGGACGTGTTGTCTCGTCTGTGTTTAGTGTTCGTAGTGTTAGTGTAAGTAATTTATTTATATCGTAGCTTTCTTCGGTGTTTTCGTGATCGTATTTATTATATGCCGAAGCTTTGTTACTGAAAATAGTTTTTAAAACGGAAGAAAGTAAGAAATTAAATTAACTTTAATACAACGATAAGCAAAAAGCGACATTTGTTTCACGTACAATAAAAGCGACAAACTGTAAATGATACAGCGAATATTCAGTGATATAATTCTGTGCTATATTATTACTCATTACAAGGTTTATATTTGAATAATAGGAAAGATAAAGTGGGGGCGGACAAGTCATCTTGTTCTATGAATAGGAACTAAAATAATTGCTCAATTTTATCTAGTCGTGAGACCTTTTTCTGGAGCGAGCAGTTTCTTTTATTGTTTGTGACAGAGGAGTGCAATTCATAGACAATTCCATTCCGGAGACAAACTCAGTTAGATTATTAACTCCACTGCATTTATGACTGAGAATCTGATTATATAAAGCAACGGAAGTTGAACAAGAAGTGTTTTAATAACTGTTATTTAACTTTTAACTTTAGTTTGAATGAGGGTCTCGATATTCCTTAAACCTGTGCAGTAACCCAAAATCGTGTGATATTTAAACGTTTTAAACAATAACAAGACACAATTATTCAAATTTTATTTTGTTTACTGGCTACGTACGATAATGCTAATTCCAACTGGACCAATCGCAGCAGGACGTAGTCATCAACTTCCTCAACAAACTATACACAACGGAAATAATACCAATAACATGACACTGGTGCAACCACCACAGATAATGACGTCATCAGCGTCGGTATCCGTGGCGCCTCGAGAGCGTGACGCAATCAAGTTGTTCGTGGGGCAGATTCCCCGCCACCTCGAGGAAGAAGAGCTTCGCCCCATGTTTGAAGAGTTTGGGAAAATCTATGAGTTTACCGTGCTTAAGGATAAGTTCACCGGAATGCATAAAGGTACTTAGCAAGTAGTAGAAACGGACGGGTTTTACCAGGTCCTCCCCCCTCCCTCAGACTGTTTGCTGCTGGTAGGCAACACGTGCTTTCATTTTCCTCAGTTGTAGGCTATGAACCTATCGACCGTTACGTCAGCAAAGAATTGTGAGTCATGGACAGAACGAAGTGTTACAAACCAAAATACGCGCTTTAATTTCCATGCTGCCTTAGGAAAGCTAGTTCTCATTACAAATGTACTGGTATACCGTATTTCCTCCGTTTTAAAACTCAACGGTTGTAAGAATTAACACGTTTTCAAGAAAAGAAAAAGAAAAGAAAAGACACTGTGCCGATTCTCAGACGCTATTAAATGTAAAATGTACGAAATACGATTTTATGAGCTAATTTTAATAATCGAGTACGCTGAAAACATTGATATTTTACGGGTAACAAATTATAGCGAAAAGAGGAAAACTAATTTCAGCGTCTGCAGCAACCCGTCTCCTCTCCTCTCTAACCCTAGCAGGAGATAGACGTACTCACTAATTTTCTCTTATGTCCTTCAGCGTAAGTAGTATGGGGCAGGGAAGGAAAGTAATTTCCAATCACGTTTTCTAAAATTCAGCTAGAAACTCAACGAATTTGAAAGCCAAAATTGTACACACTTTGTGTTCTTGCTTATTGTATAACATGAAGACAGCGGGAAGTGACAAGATTATATACCGTTATATAGAAGGCGTGTAGAGAAACTGACTGTGACCGATTGTTGGGGTGCTATTTCGGCATTTTATGGCTGTATTATTATTATTATTATTATTATTTAGCCCATTTACTTGTGAAACGTTATTCAATTAATGAATTGAATTATTATTATTTTGTTTTTTATTGTTTAATGTTTTTATTTTGAATTATTGAATTGAATTATGCTACTTAGGTTTCGTATTTAGCCCATTTACTTGTGAAATATTTATTCAATATGGTACATTTATATATTTAGTTTCATTTGTTTGTTTGTTTTTGTATTTGTAATGTTTTACGTTTATTATATCCTGTACTCTGGTTTAGTGCTTGCCTCTTATAGGCCTTATTTGGCTGTTGTCAAGCACTTAAATAAATGAATTGAATTATTATAATCCGGCACGTTTTGGTTTATGGGCAGGTTTCTTATAATGTGATGTGAAGTAACGATAATAATAATATTAACAGAATCATAATAACAGTGATTCTATTTAATTCAGTACTGTATTTTAACTTGCTAACTGAACAGGTACACGAATCAATTACAGAGTCAGCTCAAGAAAACTGAACAACAGTACTAATAAATAATAGATATAATACGCTAATAATAATAACGTACGTAGTTGTAAGTGGCCTTGGCTTGGCACGAACCCCGGTATACTGGTATTAGTAATTAGTGCTGTTGTGGTGATATCTTTATCTAATATAAAAATATTTTGTTGCTTTTGTAACCAGTCCAGCGTCAGTTTTACTGCTGAAAGTACGCCGCAATTTATCGTCTGCAGAGGGATCTCAATTAACTCTGACCTAACCCTTCAGTTGTCTTTATAACACTGACTAGTTTAATTTTCGTGTGGACGTTCAGCCATTTCCCCTCCCTCCTGCTGCGATGACAATGGCTAGACACCATTTAGTACCATGTGTTATATTGTTTACATCCATAATTAAGCCCATTTAGGCTCATATAATGAAATTACAGCTGACACATGCTGAGTGCTGTGTTTCAACACAAAGAAAGGTCACTCATTTCGTATTTCTGCGTTGCATAAACGAGTCATTACGAATTTGTATTGCTTTTGAATACGGTAACTTCGTTGTTTGCCATTCTGCAGGGACTTTGTTTCACAGAAATATTAGTCCGTGCCACTTGTTATTTCGTTCTACGCACACGTGACTGTTGCCATGGTGGTAATTCATTAATGAATTAATGACGTTACCTTTCATCCCGTTTGAAAATTTTGCACTAGAATCACAAAAATTAAATATTTGAATTGGTTTCCGTATTAACGTAGGAGGCTGCACTTTTGCTTGCAACAAACAAATATGGCGTATGGAGGCGTGAAGTTATATATGCTTCACGCCTCACCTTCTTCATCTTCCGGGGATATTTTCCCTGTTTCTTTGTACCGTTCAGTCCGTACCTACTCATTGTTTGCCTAATTTTTATCAACTAAAACACTTCTGAAACTAAATCGAATATTATATTTAATCGTACGCTGAAAGTAAGCGGTTTCTGTAATAATCGGAGGATTTCCTAAACCTACATGGCTCGAATTTCCGTAAACGATCCCAGGTGACAAACTTCTTTGAAAACTCTAGTAATTTTTAGTTATATAAAAAATATTTTCCTGACAATCTGGTTATCTGTCAGATTTCAACATCGTGATGAGAGGATTATTTAATGTTCTGAGTTTGAATATAATTTACACTGTATATGCAGTAGTAGATATATTCTGATTAGCACGAAGCGGGTCTCTGGGTTATTGAATAGACAGTATGCGTAGAACGAGGATAAGGAGGATGTGACTAGAGAAAAAATGAGGTAGGTAAAATTTAATTTTCTGACGGCGACAAGTGTGAAGATTATCTTTCTGTACGATCGCTCTAATGATGGAGACAGTAAGCACCTCTGAAACGTCGTTCATTTTTTAAGGGACTGCATGGTGCAACATAAGGCAGACCGTTGATTTTAAAAATAAGATAAGAGTGTTGCTTAAGTATATTTTGCAGCGGGGGGTGGGGAGTCGTAACCATCTCTAATCACATATTGCCCCAATCAGTTGGAATGATTTCGATTAAATTTGGAGCGAGGGATGTACACTGAAATTTATAAGGTGCTTTTTATTCAGTTACAACTCTGTGATTTGCTTGAATACATTCATCTTCTACTCCGTTAGTTGGTACTCTAAGCCCCTACTCTTATTTCGTAAAAATAAAACAATTTATGAACTAAATTGAAATTATTTTCAGTACACCTACTTATCATTTAAAATAAAATAAGCTTATTTATTGAGAAACCGACGATTGTGAAAAATTAGATTGTGGTATTCTGGGTTGTAACACTGTAGTTTTGCAGGTGGTTACCGACGTTTGGAGGGACTTGTTGCCTTCATTTATGTTGAGAATCCCACCAAGTGCTGGGCTATTAGTTAAGCCTCAGCAAAGAGCCAAGGTTACTTACTGACTGGTCTGGTATATTGCATACATCAGTGGGTCCCGTCGTCAGTTTTATACCTCATATCTCATTTGAGATACCCTAGAATTGAACACGGATCATTGCTGTGTTAAATTAAGAATTAACCGTCTGAGATATGTAACGACTTTCGTATTTGTTGAATTCTCGGTTGATGGACAGCAGACGACGTCAGAGACTTCGACAATTGACGTTTTACAATGTGTGATCACATTAAAGTGGGCATGCAGATGGCTGTCTCTTGGGGTGTTCAACCTTGTAGTCTGGTAAAAGTATGCCGTCGTTTAAAAGGAGCTTGTTGCTTCCATCATCAGGGCGATTGATGATGGGATAGCAAGCACCTCCGAAACGTCTGTAAATTCTACCAGACTACAAATAGCAACAACCCAGAAGACAGCCATCTGCAACATTAAAGTGATGTACCGTCTTGTCTGATAGTAGAAAATGGCCTTGCCAGTTGATACAACCCGTAAACTGTTGGTTTGTGCGCATCAGTTAGAGGAATAATTAGTAACTATAACGAAAAAATAGCCCGTGTTTGATCTTGAATTTGACTTTTAAGCGTGAATCAAGAAGTTAGTTAGTTGAACGTCTGGATGTATGCATCGGGACGAGATTTGAACCCGGCAACCATGAAATTGAGTTATCTGAAACATGTTACACACACAACATTTTGTTAGAGGACCGAGAGGTGCAGGAGGCAGGTAAAAGGGTAATTTTAAAGTAGACGCGTGAATGTGGCGGGCTTTCATGAACTCTGTAATAAAATTTTGGGTTCCGTGAAAGCTTAAATTTTGTTGACCAGCTATCAGCTCCCTAAGAAAAACTTTACTTCATAGAAGTTGCTGGTTAATTAGTTATAAAGGAATATTGGAATGTCTTTCCTAAATGATCCGTGACTTATTATAAATTCGCGTTTCACAGTGGTATTTGTCGAGGCATACTACCAATTTACTTACATAAATTTGTTGAGTAACTAACACGCCTTGTAAAACATAATTTCCTAAACTTATCGTTTGTGGTGGAAGGAAGCTTCTCACCGAAAGCAGCTTGGTTTATATGTCCTTTTATATAATTCATCCAGTCTAGAGCGTTTGAGCTTCTCAGTGTCTTAGCGACTACCTGATGACTGATTAAAACTGAATAATTTTAAGTGGTGTGTGCACTTGCAAATTATATATACATAAACGTATATAAAATTTACTACCTGCTTCATTTAAGCACTATAATTTATTCAGATAGCTGTGGGAAGTGCAAACAGTGGTCAGTCATTTCAAGTGCCAACCGTCCGGATGGGAGGATTTTGAATTTAGTTATTTTACGATTTGGACGTTGAACTATAGCAAGGATAAAAGCTGAAGTTGTCCCTGTTACTTAACTAAGCACAATACCATGCAGATGTATGGCAATGGAAGTAGTGGAGAGACAGCTCCACGCATTCTTAATCTCAGTAGTAGGTGGGGAGGTGGGTATTCAGCCGGGAATCGAATGCTGTTCTCTAGAACCGTAGGCAGACAGTCTGACTCTTAAGATACTGAGTCATTTTTAATACAATTAGCTCCAAATATTTTTCCTGTCGGCAGATCGGTTTGTGCCATTGTGGCAAGCCATTAACAGGTTTTGTCCAGTGCTTTTAAGTTTGTATTTTTTTTAGTTTTTGATCGAAATACGGAAAATTACTGTTAAAATATGTACCAGTTAATAGTGCGGTTTTAATTCCATAGTTTCATATACATAAATGAATAAATAATCTCATGTAGGAACGTATGACGCGTGTTCTGCTGTTCAACAATTTGCCGTTGAACAACTT